ATATATATATATATGAAGAGTCTCTCATGGAGGAAAAACTGAATGGGAAGTCATCAGACAGGGAGAAAAACAATTGTTTTTTTTTCCAATGTCACTTTTTTTTTTTTTTTGCCTTTTTTCCCCCTTTACTGTATGATTGTATCTTAGAGTTGAGATGTGCAGAATAGGAGTTGAAAAGTCAATTGTTAGCTGGGAATATTCACGTTTTGATGGTGAGAAGGAATTGAAATTATGTTTTTCATAATCATCATGGTAGTCAGCTCCAGTTAGATTAACATATATGATAAAACGAGTCTGTATGCACCAGACACCACCTTTAAATATTGTCTCCAGTCATTTGTTTATTCTATATTCATTCATTTAGTGAATATTGATCACTTGCTAGGTACCAGGAAAATCTAGAAGCTGGGAATGAAAACCTGAGTAATAGTCTCTGTCCTTATGAAACTTATATCCATGTAGAAAAGATAAAATTAATAAATCACTGTATTTTGTAATATTGCAATCAGTGCTAAGAATAAAAACACAGCAAGGCATAGCAAGAGGTAGACAAGCTAATCAAATAGAACACCTGTAAAGAAGGTGACTTTTGAAGCAGAGACCCAAATGGAAAGAGGGAGCAAGCATTGAGAGGATCTCTGGGACGAGTGTTCCAGGCAAAGATTATAATGAGCACATTGGCCCTGGTGTGGGGATGTGCATATTCGAGGAACAAATGAAAGGCCAGAGTGGTTGGAATATGGGGAGCAAAGCAGAGAAGATAGGAAATGAAAGCTTGTCAGGCCACAATAAGAAATGTGTATGGTTTTAAGCAAGAGAGTAATATGATCTAGTTTATATTTTAAAAACAATCTGTTGGCTCTTGTATGGAGACTGGGCTGAATGGAAGTCAGGAGATCAGGTAGGAAGCCTTCATAAAAGTCTAGACAAGAGATGCTGATGACTTGTACTAGGATGTGATGGGGCATGTGAGAGAGGGACTAAATTTGGGGTCCATTTGGTAGGTTGATCTGTCAGCCCTCACTGATGACGGTGTAGTGAGTGCAGATGAGTCTTTCAGAATTTTGCTGTGAAGGGGAGCAGAGAAATAGGGTGTAGCTGGAAGAAAACACAGTCAGTGAAGGGTTGGCTATTTTTGAAGGATCTGCTTAACCTCTCTAAACATCAATTTTCTTGTCTGTAAAATGGGGATAATAATAGTTTTAGCCTCATAGCATTGTTGTGAGGACACCTTGAGGTAATCCCTGTGAAGAGCTTAGCTTGGTGTGAAGCACTTACAGTCCTTCATGAATGCTAGATATTAACATAATTATTAAGGACTCACCAAAGGAGTCCAACCATGATGTAGTCACTCATTTATCCCCCTGGCAAATTTTGAGAGCATACCATGGTCCTTTTGCCAGCTCTCCCCTATTTCGGCTTTAGTGTGACTTGCTATGCTTCTTGGTAATCATGAACTCAGCAACCACGGTAACTTGGTGTATATCCTGTGAAGGGGCTCAGTGGACAGAGCACCACAGAGGAGGACGATTGCTCTCTCATCACCTTCCTAAATTGCTCCCAATCCCTTTTTCCAGACCCACAAGCGGAGGATTGTTTGTTTTTCCTGAGCCTTTGTCTCCTCAGCTCAGGACTGAAACCCAACCTAGATGAGACATAGCCATTGTTGTTGGTAGGGGAATTTTTATCCTTATTGAATGAGACCTATTTTTGTTAGTAGAAGTCTATAATTCACTTGAAGGATTCTTTGCTGAGAATAACTGGATTTTTAGATAATTGCTATATCTAATTGCACTCATTTAAAAAAAATTGTTTAGTGGTGACTTGAAGGAAGAAAGGAAACAATCTCTCCAGTTTCTTAAAGCAGGGCTTGCAAACATTTGGGAGAACCAGGCAGGACAAGAGTGAAGGGCAATGTCCACAAGGGGGTGCTGGCCCCCGAAGGGGCAGCCAGTGCATCCTTGCCTTTTGGAAATGTCTGCAATTGGCACAGGGTTTTTTTTTTTAATTTTTAAAAAATTTTTAGGGGGTGGAGGGGCAGAGAGAGAGAGGGAGAGAGGGAATCCTAAACAGGCTCCACACTGGGCATGGGGCCTGAGGTGGGGCTCAATCTCACAACCCTGAGATCATTATCTGAATGGAAATCAAAAGATGGACACTTGACTGATTGAGTCCCAGGGGACCTAGGTTTTTAGTTTTTAAGAGATAATTGGGAATTCTGTCTCCCATATGAAATATCCTGATGCACAGATGTTGACTTAAATGTATAAAACTTTGTAAGGGCAAAGCAAAACATGTCTGTTGGCTGAAAGCAGCCCACAGTCCCCTGACCTCTTTTGAGTACTGGGTCCTAGTTTAAATTTTATTATCATCCCTTAGAGGCTACGCCTGCAGAGACCAGCTAAAGGATGGAGTCCATGAACTTAGTATAAACTGAAGACCGTGCTGACATAATTTGTTTTCTTAGAAGCTCTCTGAGCTCTAGGATTTTCCAGGAAAAGCAATAGCCTTTGGTTAGAGAGCTCTTGTGTTAGTGTCATGGTTCAAATGTCTGGGGAATGGATTCAGAAATAAAAAGATGGAGCTTGTCTGAGAGCCGACATCTTTATATCTTTGGAAGAGAATGTAGAGCATAGTGGTTGAAAATCAGACTTTAGAGTTACCAAGGACACGGTTGTGAGCCTGAATCTCCTGCCTCTATATTTATGAGCTTATGCTTTTGTGGGGTTTTCTAACCCTCAATTTTCTCATTAATGAAATGGAGATAGCCATGATAACTCTGGTGGTTGTGATGATTAAGTGAGATGTGTATGTGAAGTTCTCTCTAAAGTACTGGACACAGTAAGGGCTTTGAAAATGTTGGCTGCTGCCTTATGAATGTGGTGACAGTTCTAATTACCATCAGCTCTCCTGGAGCTCAAGTTGGCTAATGTTTTTGTGGTTAAAAGACTAAACATAGTCTTGATTCTGAGTACAAACAAAATTTGACTAAGGATTTGGCAGGAGGGTGACTTTTAGCAATCAGTATATCAAGACTGGTTTTTGACAATGGTCACAAGTGACTATATAAGGACCACTGTCACATTTTTGCCTATTTTTTTTTTAAAATTTTTTTGAAGATTATTTATTTATTTATTTGACAGAGAGAGACACGATGAGAGAGGGAGCACAAGCCGGGGGAGTGAGAGAAGGAGAAGCAGGCTTCCTGTGGAGCAGGGGGGCCAATGAGGGGCTCGATCCCAGCACCCCAGGATCATGACCTGAGCCGAAGGCAGATGCTTAACGACTGAGCCACCCAGGCACCCCACATTTTTGCCTATTTTCTAAGACTACTAGTTCTATTAACTTCTGAAAACTTTCTGACAGCATGATTCAACATGATCTGCTGCTTCTTGACCTCAGCAGCATTTATACTATTATATTTCGCTTACCAATATGCTGGGTTTTTTTTCTCTTTTGCATTAGCTTTGATTCCTTAGGTTTTAGAGGCTTATCATATATCTGTTGTAAATCTTCATTTGCACCCAACATAATGCTGGGTACAAGCAAGCACTCAGTGCTTGCATAGTGATTGGATTTTCATCATAATATATGGAGACCTTTGGCTTTGTCTATAGAGAGCCAGCAGCAGCAACAACAGCTTCAGGAGAAAGGAAGGTTCCTCATGGGGGCAGCACAAGAACCCACAGTGGGCTGGCTTGTCTGTGTCTAGCACAAATATGTACTCTCCAATCCGGGGGCTGGTACAGAAACTGCCAGCCTTAGACAGTTAACTTTGTTGTAACTTACCACAAAATGAAAGTGGACACATGAACATTGCAATAAAACATATCAGGAAATCTTTAGAATTCTTTGAAAAGTTTAGAATCTCTGGTTTTGAAAAACCACTGCAATAAGGCAAAAAAATATCCACAGGTTTTGAAATAGAAATTAAATTTAAAGACCGTTACATTCTGGTGGGGGGGGATGACACTGTTTACATAGGAAGCATCAGATGAACCAATAATTGATTAAGAAGACCATTTAAAAGTGATTGTCTCGGGGTGCCTGGGTGGCTCAGTCGTTAAGCGTCTGCCTTCGGCTCAGGTCATGATTCCAGGTCCTGGGATCAAGCCCCGCATCGGGCTCCCTGTTCGGCAGGAAGCCTGCTTCTCCCTCTCCCACTCCCCCTGCTTGTATTCCCTCTCTCGCTGTGTCTCTCTCTGTCAAATAAATAAATAAAATCTTTAAAAAAATAAAATAAAATAAAAGTGATTGTCTCCTGTAATTGGATAGGCTGCAATAGAATACAAAAATAGGCATTTTGAATTATATAAAAATCATGAAGCTACTTTTGCTTTTCTGTATGATGTCCACAAGTTTCAGGAAATTTCAAAGGAAATATTAAAATGATATTGTATAAATTTACATTTAAATTAAATTCCAATTTACATGAAACTGATTTATATGAACAGTTAGTTTTAGAAAATTTGTTCCATAGGAATCATCAGTTACAAATATACAAAAATTTAATTTTCAAAATAATATGTCAGAAATTCATCACAAAGTCCTCACAGCCTATAAAAAAATCTTAAAAGCTCTAGTAATAGTTACATCAGAAAGATCATGCTCAAAATTAAAAATGGTCAAAAATTACTGACAATCTTACATTTTCCAAGAGTGACAAACATTGCTTTCAACTACATATATTGTTTGAAAATAAAGTTGCTAAAAGTATAAGTTTTAATGATCGAATAAATGAATTTGCAGAAGTGTAAGAGAAAAATCTTATGATCAAACAAGATATCACATTAATAAAGTTTTATTTTTATCACATTATATAAGATTATGGCACCAAAACTATATATTTTTTGCAATTTGTAAGTTTATGTTGTTTTTTGTCTATCACCATTACCCCTGTTACATTTTATAAGTATAAAATATTTTTAGAGAAAACCTTTCTATTTTAGAATCTATAATGGCATTCTGTCCTCCCCTCCCCCCACCCCATGGTTTTTGGACAAGGGACCCCATACTTCCATTTTGCTGAGAGGACGGCTGGGGTGGGAGAGGAGAAGATGAACTAGCACTCTGGAGAGCGGGAGGTCTCCTGGACTTGGACAGATGCCGAGTTAAACACCCACGCGCTATCTTCTTAGTTCAACAATTAGTTCTCAGGGACAAAAACTGAACCTATAAGAAGGAAGAAAAATACTGTCCTAACTCGCTCAACATTTGCAGGACTCTCTTCTTACACTCAAATCACTACTTCCTATTATTTTCACAGCGGGGTTAATTCCTTTCATTTATCCAGCAGCCTTCCTACTGTGCCCCTTTGAGCCTATAGGAGGAAAAGAAAGTGACTGTTTTTCGACTATTTGTTAGTGGATGTTTCCTCAGCTTCATAGAACTTTAAAATGACTGGTTTTACAAAGACTTTTTTGATAAGGGTTCATCTATCTCAGAGATAGTTTCATTCCTGTAGATACAGATGTGATTTTGTATTTGGGCCCTCGTAGGCTAGTCCCGTATTTACAAAAATATTCTCAGTCTAAGTTCTAAAGTGAGAATGACTTAGTTTTCAAATTGGAAAATGCTCTCTGAGGTGTCTAACTTGATCATCACATTGAACGTTATTATGAGCATTGGGTGAGTTTATTTCCTTCAATCCTACCTAGGATTTTATTAGCACGTAGACATAATACTGTTGATATAGCAGCTTGATACAACAGAACTTAATACACAGGCTTCCTCAAGACTTGGAAATGTTATAAAGCATGAACTGAATCTCATATCATATAAAGATGATAAAAATAAAAATCCACAGACATTTAAAAGTACAGATTTAGCCATTAGTTATATGCACCTTCCCAACTATTTCTATTTCGGTTGCCAATTAAGATTAGATGAAGCAATGTTTCAACTTTTTCAGTCTACAACCTTTTGCTCAGTATTTGTGATGAGCTACCAGGCTTTGACCTAATCATAAAGCAGAGAGTATTATGAAGAAAGTATATAAATAGATTTTTTTAAAGATTTTATTTATTTATTTGACAGAAAGAGACATAGCGAGAGAGGGAACACCAAGCAGGGGGAGTAGGAGAGGGAGAAGCAGACTTCCCCGTGGAGCAGGGAGCCCGATGTGGGGCTCGATCCCAGGACACTGGGATCACGATCTGAGCCAAAGGCAGGCGCTCAATGACTGAGCCACCCAGGAGGCCCTAAATAGATTTCTTATTCTGAAAAATGAACTCATGGAAGGCATTGAGTCTTCAAATATGTGACATCTTTATTTCTCTCTTGGTAGCATATTCCTGTAAACTGATATCAGCTCACATGCCTCATATTCGATTGAATTCAAACTCATTTGAGGTAAGTGATTTTTAAAAATTTGATTTAATATGAGTGTAACCAATTTGTTACTTCAGTGTTCCCCCATACCTTAAAATCTACGTAAGTTGCCTTGAACTCTCACTCAAGTCCATTAGAACATTACCTCTGGTCCTCATTTCTTGCCTCATTCTTAGGCTAGTCCTTTATCACCCAAACCAACATCATACCAAATCCAACACTCAGATCTTTGATTTTAAAAATGCAAAAAAAAAAAAAGAAAGAAAGAAAGAAAGAGAAAATATGTGTAAATAGCAGTCTTTATCAAAAGTTTGAATAGATAGGTGCCATATACATTGAAGGAATGAAAGGATTTTGTAATCTAATATTGAACCTCCTTGCCCTTAAAAATTAAATGGCTACAGCCATTTATTTTCTGTTAAATATTTTTTACTGTGTAATTTTCTTATCATTAAAAAAAATTTACATAAATTTCATCTATTCCTTTTCAGTCTTCTTTTTTAAAAGTAGATCTCAGTTTCTGACACATATCATAATTATTCTCCATGAAAAACTTTAAAAATATTTCTTATGGGGCAGATTAGCTGGCATTGAATTTCCTCAGTTTTTGTCTGAGAAAAATCTTTATTTCTCTTTCACATTTGAAGGATAATTACACTGGATATAGAATTCTAGGTTGGTGTCTCTTGTTCCTTCAACACTTTCTTCTCAACTGTATGGTTTCTGATGAGAAGCTTGCTATTTCTTACTTTATTCTTCCCTTTAGCTTCTTTCAACATTTCTTCTTTGCCTTTGATTTTGTGGTTTGAATATGACATGCGTAGGTGTAAATTTTTTGGTATTTATACCCTGCTTGGTGTTTTCTAAGTTTCCTGGGTCTGTAGTTATGTGTTTGCCATTAGTTTGGGAACATTCTTAGTCATTTGTACTTAAAATTTTCTTTCTGTTCTGTTCTCTTTCTCTTCTCCTTCTGATATTCCAATTAGCTGTACATTAGACCTTTTAAATTGTCCCACAGTTCTTGAATATTCCATTCTGTTTTTTTTTCTAATTCTTTTTTTTCCTTTCTATTTCAGTTTGGGAAATTTCTGTTGATATATCTTTAAGCTCATTAATTTTTAGACTTTGTGCAGTCTATTGTTGGGCCCAATAAGGGCATTCTTCATTTCTGGTTTGTTTTTTTTTTTCTAGCATTTCATTTTTATTCTTTCTTAAGTGTTTCTCTCTGCTTATCTTCCCCATTTGTTCTTTTATGTTATCTATTTTTCCATTAGAGTCCTTAACATGTTAATCATAGCTTATTTTAAATTCACTGTCTGATACTTCAAAAATCTGTGTTATTTTTGAATCTGGTTCAGATGCTTGCTTTAGCTCTTCAGACAGTGCTTTTTCTTGCCTTTTAGCATGTCTTGTAATTTTTGTTGAAAGCTGGACATGATGAATATGGTAAGAGAAATTGTGGTAAAGGCCTTTAATGTGAAGTTTTATGGTAATCTGGCTGTATTTAATGTTTGCTCTAGCTATACACATGAGAAGCTCCAAATTCCTCTAGTGTCCTTGTTTAGTCCCCCTTGTTGTCTTTGGGTTTCCCTAAGAACTCTTCCTTAAATAGATCCACACCTCACAGTTCTTTCATGTGTAATGCACTATTACTATACCAGGGCCCTGTTGGTGTGTGGTAAGGTGTGTGGGAAGAGAAGTGTTCTTATGATTAAATCTCAGTCTTTTAGTGAGCCTGTGCCCCTGTGTCTTTATAGGTGTTTCTTAGTATTTTTCTCCCCTTGGGTGAGACAGGGAGGTTAGAGGGGGCTAGAATTGGGTAAACACCCTTCCCTTTAGGTGGGATAAGACTCTGGGAAAGTCTTTAACTTTGGAGACTAGGCTTTCATTATGGAGAATGCTCTGAGCATATATCAAAATGTTCACTTTCCCCCTCCTCCTGCCTGAACCACAAGGGGAATTTTTCTTGGCTTTTCACCATGAGAACCTGGTGAGGTTTCTAGAAGTAAATCCACAAAAATGTGAGTCTTCACCCATCAAGATTGCAACCCAAGGAGTGTCTCATTTTCGCGGTAACCCATACTCAGCCTACGTCAATTCCTCAAAATTACCAGTTAAATGTTCCTACCAGTTTGTGACTTTAGTAGTACCTTCTGCTCCACTTAAACAGAGCTCAGCTGTGATTCTCTGTATTCCCTTGTCTCTTCAGATTTCTGGTGGAAGTTTGTCATGTGATCTCACCTATCTCTGATAGGTCCAAAGAAGGTTGGTTTTCACTTTGTTCAGCTTTTTTCTATAAGGATGACAGTGGTGAATCCAAGCTCTTTATGTGTCATTGTTGAAATTTCAGTGCCTTTGACTAACTTTTGACCTTTAATTTAAGTTTGTACAATGGACAGCACTCAAGTTTTTGAGAGGAATGAAGTTGCATATGTAATTAGATGAATGAGTTAGAATTTTCCAGAAGCTAGTCTTGTTAGTGAAGCTTACTATGGAAAACTCTGTCACTTACATATTATGATTTACATAGTGATCCTGGTACATTGTTTCTCTAAGAATTTCTCTTATGTTTTAAATTCCTGTAAACTTTAGAGTTATGTCATTTTCAAAACTCATTCTTAAATAACCATTACTTAGTTACTGATAGACTTGTTTTACATATGAAGCATATAATGCAATTTTCCCATATAATGTGCTACAGGTTGTGCTGCAGGATTTTACATAATTAATGTTGGCAAATGACTAAGGTACTCATGTTCTAGAGTGAACCATGTTGGAAGAATTACCTTTAGCTTCTGTTAACATCGGCAGCAGAAGGACTGGTAAAGAGAACCAATTTAGGAGTAGAAGAAAAAAATAAGACATTAAACTAATAGCTTTAGTTCCAAGCATTTACTTGTTCTAAGAAGCTGTAAAATTGAAAACAATATATAACTAGAAAAGCACGAAGTTTTGTGTTCACTAACCAAATGAAATGTGAGAAGAATATTAAAGTGAGGAAAACTTCAATTTTGCCAGATTATTTTGGGGCAACAAAACAATTACAGTCACTTGAGATCATTGATGAGATATGCAGCCCACTGTGTAGAAAAAGCAGAAGTAGAAATGTTTAATACGATATATATATATCATATATTTTATACACACACACACACACACACACACACACATAATACCTCATAGTTCCTACACAGCATGAATGCAAATTTAAAGTGTTTGAATTCCATCTGTTATTAGACCTTCAGGTTTATAAAGCCCTCAGTAATTCAAGGATTATTAAAGTAACTTTATTTTTGGGAAAAATAGTTATTTCATTTGAGTAATGAGTATTGAGTAATGAAGATCTTCTGAGAAAAATAGGGAGGAGGATTTTTTTCATTAAAGCTTTTGATGCTTGATGCCTGTTATGCTTTAAAATTTTTCCCCAGGTGGCACATTTTCTTAAAATTTCATTTATTAATATGTTTATGGGAGATCATAAAAAAAATCTCTGATTTCTGTAGATCATTGAATATAACTGAAAATTATAGTTAAATAAAATAATAAGCTTTAAAATATGATTTAGTATTTTATGGCATTCATTTCACATAGTCATAGAAGTAAAACAGAGTTGGTAAGAATCAAGAAATATTTTGGCAAACTTATTATTTCACTAATGTTTCAATAGAAAGTGGTAACTGATATTTTTTTTATTTTACTTGTATTTGATGAAGGAATTTTCTTTAGCATTAATCTATATAACTTAAAATTTTATTACATATTTTCCTTAAAATTCCTGAATTTTCCACTCTGCAACTGGCATGAGGAGTCATTTCTCTAAAATTTTGAGCTTCCAACAGTTTATGTGAATTATGAAGGAAGGAAAGGTTGGGTGAGGAAAATAAGCTAAGGGAGGTGATGCTCACACATCTTAAATTGAGTGATGAGTCTCTACAGCTTTTTTATTTCTCCCTTAGAAGCCTGAGACTCAGTTTTGTAGAGTTCACTCCATTATTTTGTTCCCACCTTTGATATTTTTCTCCAAAATTTTCTGAACTTTCTGATATGCTATTAACATCCATCTGTATTTTCCAACTGATATGAATTCACTCTTCTATACCTTTTAAAAAACAGCTTGAGATATAATCCACATCACATAAAATTTATGTTTAATGTGTACAATTCAATCTGTTTTAATATTTTCACTTATATATGCAACTGTCACCACAGTCAACTTTTAGAACACTTTCATCACCTCTAAAAGAATCTCCCTGCTCTTTAGTTATCATCTCTCTCATCCTCCTTCCCCCACCCTGAACAACCACTAATCTACTTTTTGTCTCTATGGGTTTGTTTATTCTTGACTTTCATGTGAATTGAATCATAATAGCATACAGTCTTTTGTGACTGGCTTCTTTTAGTTACCACATTTTCAAGGTTCGTTCATGTCGTAGCATGCATTAATACCTCATAACCTTTTTATAGCTAAAGAATATTCCATTATATGGATATACCATATTTTGTTTATCCATTCATTAGGTTGTTATAACTTTTAGGCATTTGTGAATAGTGCTGCTATAAACATGCAAGTTTTGTGTAGACAATTTTCATTTGTCTTGGGTATATATACATGAATTGCTGGGTCATGGGTAAACTCCATGTTTACCCATCTGTGGAACTGTCAGACTATTTTCCAAAGTGGCTACACCATTTTACATTCCCAACAGCAGTGTATGGGAGTTTTGCATTTCTCTATATCCTGATCAACACTTATTATCTGACTTTTTGATTCTAGTCATGCTAATGGATATGAAGTATTATCTCATTGTGGTTTCAATTGGCATTTCACTGATGACCAATGATGTCAAACTTCTTCTCATGTTATTTACTTTTTAATTTCAGTGAGCTATTTGAAGGAAAGAATGAGGTAAAAATATGCCTCAGACTACCATCTTGATTCAGGAAGTCTTTTCATTTATATTTAAAATGAGAAAAATAAAGTGATTCCCTCCCCCCACCTTTGTTTTAGGCAACACAACAAGCAGTTACTCAGAACTGTGAAGCTCTCGGAACCCGGATAGGTAAAGAAAATGACCTGGCCCTTATCATTGATGGTGAAACACTGAAGTACGCCCTCCATTCTGAAATTAAGAGGAGCTTCCTCAATTTGGCCCTCTCATGTAGAGCAGTATTATGCTGTAGGTAAGGATATATTCACTGTTCTTTTTCCCTCCCTGCTATCTTTAACACTGTTTATATAAAGAAAATGTGGACATGGAAATACAATTTTGTAGAAGCAAAGTTACTTCTTAGTAAAATATATGCTCAAATTGAAGAGAGATATATGAATTTAATTTTAATTGTCAGGCTTAAGATGTTCCTAGAAAGCAGATTATAATTTTTCAGTGATAAATTGTTTAGTGATGTATTGACCAGATGAAAGACATCTTTAGTAAGAACAAAAGCCCTGTATTTATATTGAGGGGCAAATCTGAAAAAAAATCCACCAATGTCTAGAGGAAAATGAAATTATCAGTATTAGTGCAAGTCAAAACATCAATTTAAAAAGGCAAAACACGTACCACAAAGATGGCTAGAACTAAGAAAATAACAAAACTAGGTACAGAATAGTTGTTCCTTGCTCCTGAATGAAAATATTAAATGGACCGATTATTAAAACATCTTGATGCTTTGAACTTCTAAGTATTAATACAGATTTGCTCCTCAATCAGTTGAGCTCCTTATATGCTTCAAATGTTTCCCTTAGACGTCCTTCTGTGTTCACATTCATTCAGCATCTGCTACAAAAATTCAGCACCTTCTGTTCTTCATTCCACTTTCACTTGTCATGACTGTAGTTTAGCCTTTAGGATTCTTTGTGATTTAGTTCCATCAGTTAGAACTGAAAAAACTAATGGAAAACTGAATTCAAGTCCAGCTTGGGCAAAAAGGGAATTTATTAGCTCACATAACTGAAAATTCTATAGGTAAAGCTGACTTCAGGGGAAGCAAGAAAATTCATCAATAGTCAGTTCACCAAATTTTTTGTTTCTTTTAACTATTTAGATTTAATTGACCAGTTTTCATTTTGCATCATACCAATATTTTAAGGAATGCTCACTTTTTCTCTACTCAAACTTCCTACTCATGCTGGAGGAAGCAATGAGAGGACCTACTGAAGAAGCAGGGAGAAGGGGAGAACATTTTGCCACCAAGGATGGATATTCCAGAAGTTGGCTTGCAGTGAACTATTAGTGGTTTGTCCTAAATCTGGCTTTACTTGTGGTTTGATGTAGAGTTCAAATGGTGTCTCCCTTTTGATTTATCTGGTGCAGGCTTTATCCCCAGGCCAGATACCCTTTTGGCAGCAAGTTGGGGGTTGAGAGACCCAAGCTTCACAACCTCATACGATTGCAAGCAGAAGAAGATCCACATATGCTTTTTCCCAGAAATCTCAGCAAATGGGACATCATGTTTGGCTCTGAAAGATACTTGCTTTCAGGAGCCCAAGATGAAAACAAAGGGATTATATACATGCTGGTAACAGTGGAAAGAGCCAATATACCCCTAGGTCCAAAGGGATCAGAGGAGGGAGGTAGTCACTGTACCTGCAAAGAGAGAGCCGTGCAGAGTGGACTGCTTCTAGAGGAGCCTTGAGCTGTGGTCGATAGACATAGCCACCTGGAGAAGACATGGCAGGGAGGAGCAGGGAAATGTCCAACTTGACCTCACTCTCCTCCCTGTCCAGCTTCTGCAGGGGTCACTCATTGGCCAACCATGACAGCAACTCTCGATGATCCAGGTTTAAGTGGTTCATTGTCTTAGTTTCTCCACTTAGTCACTTCGTCCCTTTAAGAGTGCCATTAGATGAACAGTAAACATAAATAAATACAAAACTGAAGTCTGTTGACTGAGCTATATCCTGAACTGATGAAAGCAATTTGGTATGGAACTGGCTGAAACTGTAACTTACAAAGGGAGTGGTGGTAGGGGAGGAGAGTAGAGTCTGTCTCTAACATTCTTCATGGCTTCAAAATTTTATGACTGAATTTTATTTTTATTTCTTTTTTTTTTTTTAAGATTTTATTTATTTATTTGAGAGACGGAGAAAGAGAGAGAGAAAGGGCAAGCACGAGCCGGGAGATGGGCAGAGGGAGAGGGAGAAGCAGGGTCAATCCCAGGCTCAATCCCAGGATCCTGAGAACGTGACCTGAGCCAAAGGGCAGACGCTTAAACTATAGAGCCACCCAGGGGCCTATTGTTTTTATATATTCTACTAAAATTTCATTAAGAATTTTTAGTCTATACTCATGAAGGGTATTTGTGGTTTTATTTCAAGTTTTTGAATGGCTTTGGTTTTAGGATAATTCTGGCCTGATAAACTAATTTGGGAGGTGTTTCTTTGTCCTCTGTTTTCTACACTTTCTGTGGTATTGGCATTAGTTCTTCCTAAAATGTTTGATAGACTTCACTGTTGATGCCATCTGGATCTGACTTTGTGGGAAGGTCTTAATGAATAATTCAATTTATTTAGCAAATATTTTCTACTACTACTTCAGTTAGGTTTGTGATTCGTGTCTTTCAAGGAATTTATCCATTTGATCTAGTTGTCAAATGTGTTGGCATTAAGTTTTTCACAATATTCCTTTATTTGTTACTTTTGTGTGATATATGGTGATGTTCCTTCTTTCCTTCCTCATATGAATAATTTACTCTTCTTTCCCTTGATCAGTCTAGTTAGGGCTTTACCAATTTTGCTGCTATTTTCAAGAGGCCAATTCCATGGTTTGTTTTTATGTTCTGATATATATCATATTTATAATGTATATGTACTATTATGCATGTTATAATATATAGTAATATAATATTCTCACATATAATACATACTTATCTGTATTATTTTCTACTTTTACCTTACTTTGGGTTGAATTTATTTTTCTTTTTCACATAACTTAAGGTAGAGAATTTTATCATTGATTTAAAATTTTTTTTCTACTATAAGCATTTCAAGCCATAAATTTTCAAGCACTGATTTAACTACATTTCCCAAATTTTGATATGCTGTGTTTTCATTATCATTCAGTTCAAAGTACAGTATTTTCTCATTCCTCTTGATTTTTTTTTTTAATCTCATGGGCTATTTAAAAGTGTGTTATTTAATTCTCACACATTTGGGTCTTTCCTATATCCCTTTCTCTTACCGATTTCTAAGTTAAAGCTATTTTCAAATAAAATACTAGGTTTATTTTTTTTTCCCACTTGGTACTTTGTCATTCTGTTGTCTTCTGGCTCCCTTGTTTCTGATGAGAAGTTTGCACTGTTGTTACCCTGTATGTTATGAATCATTTTCCTCTTCCTACTTTCCAGATTCTTTCTTTGTTACTTGGTTTCAGTTGTTTGGCTATGTTGGCTCTATACATGGTTCTTATTATATTTGTTCTCCTTTGGATTCAGGGGATCCCTAAATTAATGTTTTGTTTTGTTTTGTTTTTACTAGATTGGAAAATTTCAGTCATTATTTTTTCAAAGTGTTTTTGTTTTTTTCTACTTTTGATTTCCTTTTTTTTTTTTTTTAAAGATTTTATTTATTTATTTGACAGAGACACAGCGAGAGAGGGAACACAGCAGGGGGAGTGAGAGAGGGAGAGGGAGAAGCAGGCTTTCCACTGAGCAGAGAGCCTGATGTGGGGCTCGATCCCAGGACCCTGGGATCATGACCTGAGCCGAAGGCAGACGCTTAACGACTGAGCCACCCAGGTGCCCTACTTTTGATTTCCTTTACTTTTGGGACTCCGATCACATACGTGAGTGAATGCTTGATGTTGACTTGTGGCCCTGCCACTGCATTTTTCTTTAATTTCCCCTCTTCTCTTTTTGTATTGCATATTTTCTATTGATGTGACTTCAAATTCACTGATTCCTTCCACTATCTCAGATCTGATGTTAAGTTCATGAAGTACATTTTTCATTTCATCCCTAGAATTTCTATTTTTTAATATAGTTTCCATTCTTCTGTTGGGATATGCTGTTTGTTGACTCATAATTGTTACAATTTTCTTTGATTCTTCAGACGTATTTTATTTCAATTCTATGAACATATTTATAATGCTGCTTTGAAGTCTTTGTCTGCAGAGTTGAGTCTTCACCCAATTACTTAGACAAGTTTGTGCCTCAACAATTCAAACCCTAAACCTTAATTTAGTGGTCTGTCCGGAATATGTAGAAAGTTTATTATCTCAATGCTCCCATGATTCTTTTGTTGCAAAAATCTCCCTGTTAAATTTCTAGCTGATTTTCTGCCCTCCCTGAACTAAGAGAGCCACCCCAGTTGATAAAGATGTGGGCGATCATTATCTGCTCCAAACCATATCCACCATGTCCAGATAGTAAATCTGCAGATTCTTGCACCACTCCCAGGTCAGGGGAATATGAACACCTCCAGGAAAGGAGGTCACAAACTTGCTGCACTTACCTGATACAGTAACATCTTTTCATGAATAAGCATGTCTCAAGTTCTTTTCCACCTTTGGTCATTTTCTGGTGAGATGAAATACTTGCTTTTAATCATTTTTTTCCAGTTCTACACTTGTTTTCTTATTGAAGGAAATTGCCCAATGTCCTTATATGCCATTAACAGGTATAGAAAGTTTTCTTAAAATTTTAACCAACAATTTGCTTACTGAATGTCGTTTAGAAATAAAAAAGTTGAGATAGTTGGAGGGTGTCATACAGTATTTGTTATAATTGCTTAATCAGTGGCACTCAGGTGAACATAATTAAAAGAGAAAAATTAATTTTTAAAAGTCAATTTATGAAGCTGTAGACTTATTTTCCCCACAATTCTTATCACTATATGCCATAATTTTTGTTTTACTTACTTGGTTTATTGTCTGTCTCCTCTCCACTGCAATGTAAACTTCATGAAGGCAGGGATATTTATATATTTTATTTTCTGCTCTATCTTCTCTATCAAGGATTGTGCCTAGCTCATAGTAGGGACATAAATATTTGTTGAATAAATAATAATTACTGAATATGAGGTTACCTTTAAGTAGCTTACTCAGCAAGCACAAATATAGCAAAAACACTTGTTTATATGTCTAAGAAAACATCTGTGCCATACAATATGTTGAACCTATTTTACAATTTTTTAAAAAGCTTTTATTTAAATTCTGGTTAGTTAACATATAGTGTAATACAGTTTCAGATGTACAATATAGTGATTCAACACTCCCATACATCACCTGGTGCTCATCACAAGTGCACTCCTTAATCTTCATCACCTATTTAACCCAAATTTTGAGTGGAAACCATTTTATTTTTTATTCCTCACACTGATTATATTGATAAAGAAGTCAATTGTATGTGCCCATGGAAAAACCATGACATTATTCCAGCCAATTGGTTTATTTATCTCTGTATATTTTTAATCCATGAAAATAGATGATAAAAGTACTGTAATTTTTGAATTAAGTCAAATGAGACTCGAGTATTAGTTTTATAGGTTGGAATCTATTATGTGTTCTTTATAAATTATTGTTGAATTTGTTATTTGGTTCCATGTTATAGATTAAATATCAAAATGAGAGTTGACATGTAAAATACTATTTTTGGAAAATAAAGATGTCTATTCGGATGAGAAGAGTAGAAATGAACTGTTTAATGTCTATTTTGAATTCCTAAAACTATTTTTTAGGGCTGTGTTTTCTTATCACTCTTGTGCTCTGAAACAGCATATTGACTTTTTTCCTATCCTGAGTAGATTTCTCCCCTTTCAATTTTTGTGACTAGATGGCTATGGGACTTCTATGTTGTTTCAGTCAATAGAATGACAAGATGAACTTGGCCAGACATGAATGTAAATACCATCAATTGGAAAGAACCCTAAAATTTCAGGATTAGGGGGGCGCCTGGGTGGCTCAGTTGTTGGGCGTCTGCCTTCGGCTCGGGTCATGATTCCAGGGTCCTGGGATCGAGCCCCGCATCGGGCTCCCTGCTCGGCGGGGGGCCTGCTTCTCCCTCTCCCACTCCCCCTGCTTGTGTTCCCTCTCTTGCTGTGTCTCTTTCTGTCAAATAAATAAAATCTTTAAAAAAAAAAAATTTCAGGATTAGGGAAATTTGGCTTAATGCCCATACATGGACACATGACCTAAAGTGTTTTATTAATTGGAGCTCAATTAACAGATGGTTATTAAAAGACTAATATTATTTTAGGATTTATTTTCATATATGGTGGGGGAGGACCCAAAATCAGAATAGTGATGATCCAGTTCTATTCTCAACTGGTCAGAACTGACTTGGAGCTTTGGTGAAAGGCCTAGAACCACATTACCAAAGGACTGAAGGACTCAGTGATGTTTAGCAAGGGGAGGAGAAGGTTTAGTGGGTCCCTGACAGTTCTCTTCTTATATTTTGGAGAGCTTGGTTGGCTCAGAGGTTAGAATTAAGATTTGAAAGTTTAAAGAGTGAAATTTGGGATTAATATGAGGTAGTTTTTCTTTTTTCCACAAATATCGTAGTCTGAATATAAAAGTAGTTGCCAGACTAAATGGTGAAATTATTATCATTGTCGGCATTCCGGCAAAACAACCAGCATCTCGGGCGCCTGGGTGGCTCAGTTGGTTAAGTGACTGCCTTCGGCTCAGGTCATGATCCTGGAGTCCCGGGATCGAGTCCCGCATCGGGCTCCCTGCTCAGCGGGGGGTCTGCTTCTCCCTCTGCCCTCTTCCCTCTCATGCTCTCTGTCTCTCATTCTCTCTCAAATAAATAAATAAAATCTTTAAAAAAAAAAAAAACCAGCATCTCTTGTTGGAAACAAAACTTACAAATGGTTTCTGGAACATCCTCTACTTCGGTAACTTTTCATACTGTGCCGACAAAGTAATGTTAACTCATTATATTTTCTTCATTATGAAGCAAAAGTTTTTCCATCTGTGCTTCTGTCTTAAAATTTGGAGTGTGCACTAACCAAGGAAGCCTATCTCCTCAGTTTTTAATAATCTCACTTAAAATTTGAAAGGTTTAAATTTAGTTTTTAGGAGCTGTTTTGTGGGAAGGGGATAATCATTCAATTACTAGAAAATAAAACCTTTGTATGTCTCTTATTTTTTGGATAGAGGTGTGTATCCAATTCATTTAGTGGATGAATACATAAGTGATGAATAAGAGATAAAAATTTTGCTTCTCTTTCCTTGATATATCTGTAAGTATTTTGTGTAGACAGGGTCTGCTAGCCTGAAATATTTTAGGAATACTAAATTTGCTTTTGTAAGCTTATCTGAGGGGGGAAAAAGGATCAACAGTATTCTCATTTATTGGACACATACCATGGAAAGAACAAACATTTGCTATGTTAGGTTACTTTGCTTTTGTTTGTTGTTGTTACCACAGACTCACTTGACTGACACCTTCATGTTTTTACATCTCCTTGTATTTTTCAAGTTCACTTGAAGGTACTTTGATTTTCGTAGGCTAGTCTACAGGCTATCCTTTGGGAAAATGCCTTCAAATAGTTTCAGAAATCTTCACTTCTTACTCTCGTTTAGGTAGATGATATAAATTAGTAGAGCAGGCCAGTGTTAGGCAACAGGGAGTGATGGGGAGAAAGGCAAATTGAAGAGTTTATCTCCATGTAACCTGGGCAACTGATATTGTGTATTTCTTTTGGATGTTAAAGAAGTTGCTGTGTGGTTTCTTTGCTTTCCTTTTTATTTTGGGTGAGGGTGGGAGGGAACTTTTTAAAAAAAATGAGTATAGTTGACACACAATGTTACATTAGTTTCAGGAGTAGGACATAGTGATTGGACATCTCTATATGCTCACCACAAGGAGAGCTCCTGACTGTCACCATACAACACTATTACAGTACCACTGACTATATTCCCTGTGCTGTACTTGTTATCCCCATGACTTACTTATTCCATAACTGAAAGCCTGTATCTCTAAGTCCTTTTCACCCATTTTGCTCATCCCTCCATCTCCTCCCCCTCCAGCAGCCATCAGTTTGTTCTTTGTATTTATAGTTCTGATTCTGCTTTTTGTTTTATTCATTTGTTTTCTGGATTGGTGGGTGGAACATATTTATATATGTAAAAAGCTTAATTAATGAATTGGGAAATTTACCAGTAACTGATATTTAAAGGTGGTTCTGTGTAGATCATTGTTGACTCCTTGTTAAAGGCTTTTAGAACAAGGTGAACAAAAACAAAGCAGTAAAATTGGTGGTTTCTGTCTTCTTTTTCAGGTTATCTCCCCTCCAGAAGGCAGAAATAGTCTACTTGGTTAAGAAGCATGTAGGGGCCATCACTCTTGCCATTGGGGATGGTGCCAATGATGTTGGGATGATCCAGATGGCCCACGTGGGTGTGGGAATCAGTGGGAATGAGGGCATGCTGGCCACCAACAGCTCAGATTATTCCATTGCACAGGTCAGTAGTGTGGGCATGAGAGTATTGGAATATCTTGAGTCTATCCCCAAGGCCTACGCCACTCTTTAAGTTGCTTTTCATATGAAACTACCAGCACATTTGGGGTTTTCTTTAGTTTTGTCCTTACGCACTTTGCAGCAAAAAGAGTTTTCCTCGAGCAGTTATGGAGTTGGTCATACTGATACCACCAAGAATCTATAGCTCTACTAATACAATCTCTAAATCCCCAGTCTCTTCAGTCTGCAATGTGTGCTTTGCTTTGTGGTGTCTCTCAGTGAAGATTTCTTAAAGACTTATAATCTCCCCATTTCTGCTTTTTTAAAAGCAGGCATTGCCTCTTGGCAGGCATTTAAAAAAATAGACTGTATTTTAGAGCAATTATAGCTTCACAACAAAATTGAGCAGAAAATACAGAGTTGCCATATATTCCCTGCCTTCCCCCACAAACTCCCCCATCATCAACATCCCCTACCAAAGCAGTATATTTGTTATAACTGATGAACCTACATTGACACATCATTATCATTACCCAAAGTCCACAGTTTACATTAGGGCTCACTCTTGGTGTTGTATATTCTATGGGTTTGGAGAAATGTATAATGACGAGTATCCACCATCACAGTATTATACAGAGTAGTTTTACTGCCTTAAAAATCCTCTGCACTCTGCCTATTCATCATTCCCTCCATTCACGAACCCTTGGCAACCACTGATTTTTGTACTCTCTCCATGGTTTTGTCTTTTCCAGAATGTCATATTCATACAGTATGGCTTCTTTCACTTAGTAATATGCATTGAAGTGTCCTCCACGTCTTTTATGGCTTGATAGCTCATTTCTATTTAGTGATGAATAACATTCCACTTTCTGGATGTACAATACTTTATCCATTCATCTACTGAAAATATCTTATTTCCAAGTGTGGGCAATTATTAATAAAGCTGTTACAAATATCCATGGGCAGGTTTTTTTGTGTGGACATAAGTTTTCAACTCCTTTGGATTTATACCCAGGAATGTAATTGCTAGATCATATAGTAAAAGTATAAAAGTATGTCTAGTTTTGTAAGAAACTGCCAAACTGCCTTCCACAGTAGCTGTACCATTTACTGGAAGACATTTAAGTAGTGTGTGTGGTCTGTGATTTACAACCTCTGTATATTTATGTAAGATCCTAGGCTGTTTAACAAGAATACCTCCTCCTTCTACATATTAATATTTTGACTTTTGAAGAATATTTTAATCAATAATTTAAGATTAGCTTTTAATGGATCTAGTATTTTATCACAGTTGAGCAACTAACAATAACACTTTTCTATTTTGCTGAATTCAGGAGGCACCTGTAATTCTTGAACATTCCTTGGGAATAATCCCATACGCTGAGTAGGTCATCCCTGCTGGGGCTATTCTTATGGTGGCTGTCTCTGAGGGGCTAGATGATTTAGTACTCTGTCCACAGGTAAACAGATGCCTGAAACTGGAGTGGTAACAAAATGGATTCCTAGGATTTTACAGCATAGATGAAAAGCATATTACCCCAGTGTTTGAATCAGATCCATTCTGAGACCCTTCTTACAGATTAAGTGTTCTGGTTTTATAGCAGGGAAAACTAAGGCTCCTCTGTGCTAGAGTATTTGTGTTGGCGGGGAGAGTGTCAGTAAACCGTGATCAGAGCACCTATGTCTGTAAATAAGCAAATGGCCACACCAAAGTCACCTAATCCTGTCCTAAACTGCTACATGCTATTGGGATACATACTTCCAGTGATCTCAGCAATTATATATGACATAAGCCTTGAACTACTAAACACTGTAGACACACCAAGCTGGCCAGTATCAGGAGTCCTGGGGATCCAGGGAAACATTTCTGGCTTTTTTGTTTTTTTTAGATTCCACATTATAAGTGAAATCAAATGGTATTAATCTTTTTCTGTTGGACTTATTTTACTGAGCACAATATCTGCTAGGTCCATTCATATTGTCATAAAAGGCAAGATTTCATTCTTTTTTATGGCTAATATTCCATTACACACACACACACACACACACACACCATATCTTCTTTTTTTTTTTTAACCACCAACCAATATGGAACCTTTATTTTTAAGGTAATTTCTGTACATCTGGAGTATGAGAGCAATCCTTTTACAAATGGAACTGATTACTAGAATAAACGACAACAAAACCATAACTGGTATTTCATGTGAATCCACAGGAGTTTAAGCTTCAAATCCAGCCAAGAAGTTTGTTACAATCTCTTTCAGCTTAGCATCTGACTGCTCTGAGATCTTTCCATCAGTCCTTATATTGCCCAACAGGGCCTGGTGCTGGCTGATAACATGAGCCAGGAAAGCATGCTCAAACTTTGTGATCTTGCTGGGCTCCAATTTATCAAGATACCCTCTTACACCAGCATAAATAACAGCCACTTGTTCTTCAATGGCCATGGGAGAATACTGTCCTTGCTTCAGCAACTCAGTCAGTCGCACGCCACGACTCAAGAGTTGCTGAGTGGCAGCATCAAGGTCAGAACCGAACTGGGCAAAAGCAGCAACCTCGCGATACTGAGCCAATTCCAGCTTCATGGTCCCTGCCACCTGCTTCATGGCCCTGGTTTGGGCAGTAGATCCAACACGGGACACAGATAAACCAATGTTAATGGCAGGGCGGATACCTTTGTAGAACAATTCTGTTTCCAAGAAGATCTGTCCATCAGTGATGGAAATGACATTTGTTGGAATGTAAGCAGACACATCACCAGCTTGTGTTTCCATGACTGGTAAAGCAGTCAAGGAGCCACCACCAAAAGAATCGTTCATTTTGGCTGCTCTCTCCAGCAGACGGGAGTGTAGGTAGAACACATCACCAGGATAGGCCTCATGACCAGGGGGCCGGCTGAGCAGCAGAGACATCTGACGATAAGCAACAGCCTGTTTGGATAAGTCATCGTAGATGATCAAAGCATGTTTGCCATTATCTCTAAAATATTCTCCCATAGAACAGCCAGAGTAAGGAGCCAGGTACTGAAGGGGAGCAGCATCAGAAGCAGTAGCTGAAACCACAATGGTGTACTTCATGGCATCTGCATCTGTAAGTCTCTTCACCAACTGGGCAGCAGTGGATCTCTTCTGACCAATAGCAACGTAGATACAGTATAGCTTCTTCTTTTCATCAGTTCCATCATTGAAACGTTTCTGGTTAATGATTGTGTCAATAGCAATTGATGTTTTGCCAGTCTGTTGGTCACCAATAATCAGCTCACGCTGACCACGACCAATTGGCACCAAGCTATCCACAGCCTTAATACCAGTCTGCATTGGTTCACGCACAGAGATTCGAGGAATGATCCCAGGGGCTTTCAGGCCAACTCGCCTATGGATCTTGGAACCAACTGGACCCTTTCCATCAATGGCATTAACCAAGGGCATCTACAACACGGCCCAATAGCTCCTCGCCAACTGGAACATCCACAATGGCTCCTGTTCTCTTCACAATATCTCCCTTCCTTAATTAGTTTATCATTTCCAAACATGACAACACCAACATTGTCAGGTTCCAAGTTCAAAGACATACCCTTTAAACCTGAAGAAAACTCTACCATTTCTTCTGCCTGAACATTTCTCAGCCCATGTACACAGGCAATACCATCACCAATGCTTAGGACATGCCCAGTCTCTTCAAGGTCAACAGAGGTATCAGCTCCAAGAATACGCTCTTCAAGGATAGAGGACACTTCGGCAGTGCCAATCTTCTGAAGACGAGTGTTAGAGGCATGGAGGTTCCTTGCAGCAATGAAGGAGGATCCCAAAGCATTTTTGGAGACCAGCCTGGCCCGCCGAGGGAGGGCGCGGGCCACGGACGTGGCGACGCGCACAGACAGCATCTTTGCAGGTTCTCCTTGGGTGGTTTCTCTGCATCCGCAGCCTCTGGACTGACTGGGACCCACATCATATCTTCTTTATCCATTCATCTATTGATGGACACTGAGGTTGCTTCCATATCTTGGCTATTGTCAGTAATGCTTCAGTAAACATAAAGGTGCAATAATACCTTTTCAAGTTAGTGTTTTTGTTTTCTTTGGGTAAATACACAGTAGTGGAATTACAAGATTATTTGGTATTTTTAATATTTCGAGGAACCTGAATACTGTTTTCCTCAGTGGCTGTACCAGTTTGTATTCCCACCAAAAAGCACGAGGGTTCCTTTTTCCCCACAGCCTCACCAGCACCTGGTATTTCTTGTCTTTTTGATTCTAGCCATTCTGACAGGTGTGAGGTGATACTTCATTTTGGTTTTGATTAGCATTTCCCTGCAAATTAGGTGATGTTTGGTGCAAATTAGGTGATTGGTGATGTTGAGAATATTTTCATGTGTTTGCCATCTGTGTATCTTCTTTGGAAAAATATCTATTCATGTCCTCTCCCCATTTTTTAAAGTTTTTATATGAATTCCGGTTAGTTAACGTACAGTGTAGTATTAGTCTCAGGTGTACAACGTAGTGATTCAACACTTCCATACAATACCCAATGTTCATCACAAGTGCACTCCCTAATCCCCATCACCTATTAAACCCACCTCCCCCAAACCTCTGCCTTTTTAAATTGGGTTATTTACAGTTTTGGGGTGCTCAATTGAATAGCTTCATTATATATTTTTAATATTATTCCTTATCAAATATATAATTTTTTTAAAAGATTTTATTTATTTGACAGAGAGAGACAGCAAGAGAGGGAACACAAGCAGGGGGAGTTCGGAGAGGGAGAAGTAGGAGTCCCGATGCGGGACTCAATCCCAGGACCCTGAGATCATGACCTGAGCCGAAGGCAGACGCTCAACGACTGAGCCACCCAGTTGCCCCATCAAATATATAATTTTCAAACATCTTCTTCCACTCAGTAGGTTGCCTTTTCATTTTGTTGATGGTTTCCTTAGCTGTGTAAAAGATTTTTGTTTTGGGGCGCCTGGGTGGCTCAGTTGGTTAAGCAACTGCCTTCGGCTCAGGTC